ATCCTGTTGAGGAGGGTTCTACTTCCTGTTTCATCACTTCCTTCAGTCACACGTTCACATCTCCTCCTCAGACTGATCTTATGTTCATCTAAAACCTCCTGCAGACCAACATCTGCTGAAAGAAAGAAAAACAGAAAGAAAACTCTTCAATGTCTGAACAACACAAGAAGTCCAGTTTTCAGAATTGAGTTCATCAATTCAATTTTATTTTATTTATATAGCGCCAAATCCCAACAACAGTCACCTCAATGCGCTTTATATTGTACAGTAGATCCTGCAATAATAGATACAGAGAAAAACCCAACACCATATGACCCCTTATAAGCAAGCGCTTTGGCAACAGTGGAAAGGAAAAACTCCCTTTTAACAGGAAGAAACCTCCGACAGAACCAGGCTCAGGGAGGTGCGGGGCCATCTGCTCTGATTGGTTGGGGTGAGAGAAGGAAAGGGAAACAGCAGACAGATATTCAGTCTTACTTTGTACACAGCTGCTCTGACTGGCTGTCTGCAGTCCAGCTCTGGTTCTGGATCTTTCTCCACACTGGGGACAGGATGAAGCAGACTGGTCCCAGTATGAGGAGATGCACTGTCTGCAGACCCACTGTCCACAGCTGGTAGAGACTGGATCCTTCAGGACGTCCTGACACAAAGCACAGCAGGACAGCTGCTCCTCCTCACAAACACCGCTCCTCTTCCTCCCTCTGTGAACACATTTCTTTATCACTAAAATTATTTAATGACAGAAGCTCTAATGGTCACAGAGAATAATAAAAATTGAGCTACTTTTCACAACAGAGTATTCATCAAGATGATTTTTGGTTTTATAGTGCCAAGACAGGATAAAGACATGCTGTGGAAGAGAGACAGAGATTAATAACAAGTGTGATTCAATGCAGAGAGGTCTGTTAACACATAGTGAGTGAGAAAGGTGACTGAAGAAGAAACTCAATGCATCATAGGAATCCCCCGGCAGTCTACACCTATTGCAGCATAACTAAGGGAGGATTCAGGGTCACCTGGTCCAGCCCTAACTATATGCTTTAGCAAAAGCAAAAGTTTGAAGCCTAATCTTGAAAGTAGAGATAGTGTCTGTCTCCCGAATCCAAACTGGAAGCTGGTTCCACAGAAGAGGGGCCTGAAAACTGAAGGCTCTGCCTCCCATTCTACTTTTAAATACTCTAGGAACAACAAGTAGGCCTGCAGAGCGAGAGCGAAGTGCTCTAATAGGGTGATATGGTACTACAAGGTCATTAAGATAAGATGGGGCCTGATTATTTAAGACCTTGTATGTGAGGAGCAGGATTTTGAATTCAGTATATAGTCTTTACTGTTTTACATATACATTTTAGTTCGCCTAATAGTACCTGATAGTAGCAGTTCTCTTACTTCCTGTCATTAGGCCACCAAAACTGGTGGGGATCACCAGTAGAAGACCATGAAGACATTTAAAGAGATTTGTCATAGATAGAGTGGGAAAGTTATGCTTAAACAGAGCATTTTATAATCTGCTACTCCTGCTCCATCCTGGAAAAATCTTCTATTCCATTTTTGTTAAGAAATCTCTTCCATAAAAAGCAGACTTGTCTAACTCAAGGCTAGAATTGCCCCAATGGAAGAACTCCACATGACTACTCAGCTTAAACTACCTACAAAATCCGTAAACTTCACATTCTACTGCACAGACTGTTTAGTATTAAAGCGTAATAATAACCAACCACAGACAACCATTGCAAAGTGAAAATATCTTAAACTACAAGAACTAGCTCAAGAAAGCTTTAAGGAAAAAATAATGGACTGAACAAGCAATACATGAACACAGCTGTTGCTATTCTAGAAAATAATGGTGCAGGAGGGGGGGAACCTCTCAGCAGACACCATGGTGGGCAGTTGGGACAAAGACATAACTGTTGGATTTTCTCAATGGACAGATTTGATAAATACATAATCACTACAGCTCCCACCCCCCAACCCACTTATCCATACAGTCTAGACTGGGCCGATCTCTTTCTCTTAGTAACTTACATGCTTTTCTTGTCTAAATGCCTGATTGTCCACTATAGCAACACATGTTGCACTATGAAACACAGACGCTGTTGCAAGACATTAAATCACATCTAATATTTCAGAGTCTAGAGACTATGTCCCTATTGCATTCAAATGGAATAGAGCCAGACTGCTGGAACAGACAAGCAGATGGCATTTTAATATTTTTCAAAGAAACAGAATTTGACAGTTGCATGAAACTATGAATAAATCGACATATTTACTCACTGCGCACCACTGCCCAGTATCCTGCTAGCTAACGTTGAATTGTTGGAGAACAAACTAGACGATCTGAGGGCAAGAGTCACCTTCCAATGAGACATGAGGGACTGCAACATTCTGTGCTTCACTGAGACATGGCTGACCCCCAACGTGGCGGATCGGGCAGAAATTCCATCGGAGTCACTCTCTGTGCTCCGCGCGGACAGAACGGCAGAGTCAAACAAAACCAAAGGTGGAGAAGTGTGTTTCATGGTAAACAGAAAGTGGTGCGACGTCAGGAGCATCTCTACTCTCTTCAGCGGCTGCTCGCCACATCTGGAATACCTGAGCATGAACTGTCGCCCTTTTTACCTGTCCCGCGAGTTCACCTCATTAATCGCCACAGTGGTCTACATCCCACCCCAGGTGAACACAGGTATGGCTCTGTCTGAACTACATGATGTGCTGAGTGCGTTTCAAAACAAGGACCCGCAGGAGACTTTAATAAAGCAAACCTTGGACATCTCATGCTGAACTTTTATCAACATGTCATGTGTCTGATGAGGGGAGACAGAATCTTGGACAATTGCTAACAACTGCCTGACAATAGAGACCAGCAATCAGCATCGCAGAGCATGACGTCAGAGCTGCGCTGAGGAGAGTGAACACAAGGAAAGCAGCAGGACCAGATGGCATCACCGGCCGTCTGCTGCGCTGCTGTGCTGACCAGCTAGCAGGTGTGTTCACTTTGATTTTCAACGAGTCCCTGGCGAAGTCTGTGGTCCCCACATGCTTCAAGGGATCCACCATCATCCCTGTGCCCAAGAACAGCAAACCCTCATCCCTGAACGATTACCGGCCAGTTGCACTGACCTCGGTAGTAATGAAGGTGTTCGAGAGGCAGCTAAAGAACATCATCTCCTCCTCCATCCCAAACACCACAGATCCGCTGCAGTTCGCCTACCAACCCAACAGATCCACGGAGGACGCCACATCCTACACACCACTCTCAGCCACGTGGACAAGAAACAGGGTAACTTTGTGAGACTGCTGTTTGTTGATTACAGTTCAGCGTTTAACACAATAGTGCCCTGCAGACTGTTCACAAAGCTGAGGGATCTGGGACTTAACAGCCGTCTGTGTGCATGGGTGTTGGACTTCCTCACTGGCAGAACTCAGGTGGTGAGGGTGGGCAGGTGCTTCTCCAACAGCATCACCATCAACACAGGAGCACCTCAGGGATGTGTCCTCTCGCCACTGCTCTACTCCCTCTACACTTCAGACTGTGTGGCCACCCATGGCTCCAACACCATTGTGAAGTTTGCTGACGACACAGTGGTGTTGGGTGCCATCTCCAACAACGATGAGACGGACTACATGGATGAAGTGAAGAATCTGGCATCATGGTGCCAGGACAACCACCTCCAGCTGAACGTCAGCAAGACCATTTCATGCCTGATCCTTCTGACTTCATTGCGGCACAAGCCACTTTAACACCGCACTCACACAATGTACATTTTGAACTGTAAATTTCCAGATTTTTTTATTCTATTTAACTTAATGTATATAATTTACTCACTTATTGCGCATAATGTCCTCTTTGTATATATCTACTTACTTACTGTATATAATGCTTTTCTCTCTCTATTTTGCACAGTCGAGGAGCGGCAGCTGATGCAGACCTTGTTAATCTGGGGGATGGGGACTAGCTTTGGGAACCCTTACTGGATGAACAAACCTTGATTTTTACTTGTTAGTTGATGTCAGCAGGTCACACTTACACAAAACTGAAAATGGGAATTGCAAT